ATCATAATAAAAATTATGAATGAACTAGACATGTTTTCTAAACTCTCAGAGTTTACGGAATTAGTTTTCGACTTCGTATGATTTTCTATGATGATTTCAAAACAGTGCAGAAAGAGTAAAAACTAGTTATATAACTTACCATATTAAAAACACTTTGTAGTGATGTTGAGCAAGTGCATAACAATAAGTTTCTAAATGTTGTGGATGCATTCTTGTTAGTTTACCATCATAAACAGAAATTAGTTATTCATGTTAAGGGTTTTTCCATTCATTCGAACACATATAATAAACTATAATAAGTATGGTTTATGAAATTTCGATAAAAGCATAATACATGGAAAAGGTTTTTACTCTCAAAAACAACTGGGTTTTCATATACTTATGATAAACTATTATTAATAGTTTATGGATTTCATATCACTATGTATTTCATAGAAGGTGATTTCACTTCCTACCACGAAGAGGTTTTATACTCAACTATATGTAAACTAGTTAACGTAAGTGTGAGACATTCTCTATCTCGTACTCGTTTTTCGGGACGGGTTCGAAATCCTGTAGTTTATAACCAAAAGTCTCTTGTAAGAGAGCGTGATAATTGTGTATAGATCTATATTGGGATTGACCCCCCACACCTCGCTTCTAGCTACAGCCGGACCGGCAGGTCTGCGGGTGACAAGAGTCATAAGACCCTGACGTCTGAAAAACGTTATTGCAGGTTATTTCTCGTCATAGTATGGTTATAACGACTCACATAGGGATTTAACAATCTTTCAAGTTTACAGGGAAAATTCCACTTTGAAAAGGGGTTTTATCTATTTAAAACTACTTGAACATTAATAGTATAAAACACACACTCACATCCTCGGTCTTGGGATTTAAGGCTACATAACTTTATATAAGGAAAATATTGGATTTTCTTTGGGAAAACGCATTACGATTATAAACATCATAAGTACAAAACACACACTCATATTCTCGGTCTTGGGATTTAAGGTTACATAACTTTTATAAGGAAAATAAGGGATTTTCTTGAAGTATACATGACAAAATACCAGATTTAATACTAAATGGCTTTCATGATATTAAAACTACGTTTCATCTAGAATTGTTAGACTTCAGCTAAAATTTGTTAAGTGTGCATATTAGAGTTATATATGAATTTAGTCGCAATCGACCTAGAATTGGTGGGCCCGCCTTACTTCCTGTTCATTGTTTGGTTGTGGATCTAGGGAAGACCCACTATATTCGACGGTTTATTTAACTTAAATTTTATATAACTTATATACACTGGGTGATTATAAAAGGAATCTACAGGTCTTTCTAGGGTACATTATTGCATAACATAGGAGAGTTCATTTCGCGTTTAATAAAGAAAATATTGAATTTTCTGAAATCATACTCTATCACTTTTTACAAGGAAAACGGCTTCTTTCTCAAATAAAACTCTTATGAACTTACCAACTTGATTGTTGACACTTTTTCAAACTACTTGTATTCTCAGGAATTCAGTGAAACAGGAAATCATCCGCTTTTGAGGATGAGACGTTAAATCGTCAAACATTTCATTTTGTCATCATAGTGTAATTGATTTGAAACGTGTAAACACATACTATGTTGTAACTTTTTCGATTATATCCATGATGGTTGTATTTACTTTGAGCACTATTATACTCGTTGTTGTGATACTATACATGAAGTCCTCCACCCCCGGACGTTTCCGCCATCCTTGGTTTGGGGGTGTGACACTGTAGGTGTTGTGAACGAGGTGTTCATCGGTGTACTCTAAAAACCCATTGACATGTATTGCGAGTGGACTCTCGAGAACGATACTGTCAATAAACGAGATAACCCTGGCAGTTGCGCCTAAAGGACAATTCCGGCAGCTGCGCCTCATAGAGAATGTCATAATTCTGGCAGCTGCGCATAAATGATAAAATTAGCAGCTGTGCTTGACAGCTGTGTCATTGACAACGATGGAATTCGTACCTATTCCTTAGGATAATTCTTAGGAATAAATGAACGAGAAATAGCTGATTTTTAGGTTAGATCCTTAAGAGTAAAGAAGATAATGGGGATGAGTAATTGGGTTGATTGTTTGATGTTTTTAACACATAATAATTATATTATTGTGGGTTGAAAACCCTATGTACTACTCACCATTTTCCCAACCTGACCCACTCAAGCTTATTTGTCACAGGTGTCGATATGAAGCTACTTTACCTGAGAGATTTAAAAGAGATGTAGATCACTAGTGTAAATGAATGTAAGTTCTGTTTATGCTTATGTTTCTGTATTGACGATGACATCCCAAATGTTTTAAAATGAATAAAAATACATTTCTTCGGAATGTTTTTGATAATGTATTTATCATGTTTTTCTGGGAACAAATTCCGCGACATTTTTATTAAAAGAGATACTCTGATTTTTATAAAGCATAAACAAAATCGGTATTTTCTGGCCGTGAAAATGAGGACGTCACAAAAATGTTCCACTTGAAGGTCTTGTGCCTTGTATGGAGAGTTAGGTTGGGAAGAATTTTGGTATCCAAAATAATAATACTAGAGTGTAGGGGGTCAACTTTCAATCTCCTTTTTGTGCTCTCTACGGTGAAGAAAAGACAGTCGACCATGTGCTTATCAAATACAACTCGACTAAGATCGCTATAGAATGGGTGCTAAAATGGTATGTTATTCTAATTTGTCAATTTTCCGGAGTGGTTGAGTTCATCGATTTTCGCAGTCACTGTCCAAGGAAACACAATATCATCACATCCATAAACTAATGTATTATGGTGTTTAGACATCGGGAAACAACAAGGTGTTCAAAAAGATTTTTACCTCTCCACTAAGAGTGCAAATAATGTTATTTCATTGCCATACGTTTGGTGTACATATAGGAATAGAATGAGCTCTGATAGTTAGATAGATTGAAGTTGTTCGCCTTTCACTCATCTTAATCTGTAATGTAATATGTACATTGTTTTGCCTATGTTTTAGCTACTTGCTAGTCGTGATGCTTTGTCTTTTATATAATTTACCGTTTCAAAAAAAAAAAAAAATTCACCGTTTCTAGAAAATAGTTAAGTTTTAACTTTTTGTGAATTTACTTTTATTTATTTTTTAGTTCTCTAGGTGTATCATTTTCTAAAAAAAAAGAAAAAAAAAAAAGAAAAAAATTACTTCATTAATCCGGACAAACATTCAATGCATCGATTAATAAGATTAATGATATAAATAACTTTGGTTCCCCACCAATTCGTGTCATGACAAATGTAGAGTAGGTGATTACAATGAGTCAATGATGTCCGATTAGTTTTGAATCTGAAATTTTATTTATGATTTTTCTATTTGTTTGTCATACCAAATATTGTTGGATCGAAATTAAATGATACAAAAATAATGTAACAATAATATTTTTGTTCTGTTCTGTAGGAGATGCCTAAACCCTATATGGTGTGCTGAGACTAATGCGATGTATGCTTCATACTTAAAAGGCTTTAAGGTTTGTCAAAATCGGACCACTGCTGCCCCTCTTTGACCAATTATTTATTTATTTATTTATTTATTTGTATACCATCTAATTGACTATTAATACTAATGTAAATTTTTTATTTTGAGATTTGATGAAAATGTAATATGAGAGGAAAATAAGAACGTTATGTCTTCAAAACAAGAAATATATTTTTCAAATATAATGCGATACTATACTTGTGTTTATCATATTCCTAATTAGGGGTGATTATGGATGGTTAATTGAACCGAAAACATATTTCGAAAGGTAAACCGAGACTATTGGTTTGTTCATTTCTTGAACCTATCCTAAACCGAAAAATCAGGTTAACCGGTATTCGGTTAACCGTTTTTTTTTCTGATTCGGTTATCCAATTAACCAATTACTAATTAATAAAAGTACGTTAAGACTACTGAACCCCATAAGAAATTTTAAAAAAATTATGAATTGCAATGAATAATCCAAATAATTTGTTTAATTATATTGTTGCTTCATTTAATAATGAAATTTGGATGAATTATCAAATATCCGTGGATTATGGAAAATAATATCGATTAATACAAAAACATATTTTTTAATTAATAAATAAAGATAGTCAAATATTTAGTTATTTATGTGAAATTATGATGAAATGCAAATTGACAATTTTAATCTATATCAACCTACGTATATTTGTTACAAATGTTAATGATGTCAATTATTGGTTTAAAATGGAAAATGTAATAATATGACAATAATTAATTGTAATTGGAAATTTCTAAGAAATAATTTGATATTAACATAAACGTCTAAACATAAATAATATTTTAAAAAATAAAAAATAAATTTTTGGTTTTTCGATTAACCGTCCGTAGCAAAAAACATGAACCGCAACCGAACTGAAAAACCGAATATTTTACCGATTCAGTTAACCAAACCGGAAAAGTCAAAAATATCGATTCGGTTAACCTGAAAATCGTTAGATTTTTAAGTTTTTAAGTTCGGTTTTTTGTTTTTCAGATATTTTGAATACCAATATTTCTAATGGTCAGAACAATAGTTTAATATCTTTTAAATTTTTTTTTTCAAATAAACTAAACAATTTTAAATATGATAACTCACGGTAATGTCAGTGGACTTTTGACTATTTACCTTAATGAAATCCAAATGTCATATGTTAATAAAAATTTAAAACATGCCCTATAATTAAATGTGAAACTTTTCGTTTTGTATAACATATTGTTATTACAATAAATATAAAAAATATTTTATCATAGTTTACATTCCACGTTTTTTATTTATAAAAGAAAAGATATACTAATGTTAACATGGAATGTTAATGAATACTTTGTCCATATAATTTAGGGCGAGCAACATTTCCGTCGCATAATTTCTCACACCCACACCAAGATCATCCATACGCCATGGCCGTGGAACTCCTGGAGACTCTAAAAGAATCCATCACCGCATATACCGGACTCTCTCCAACCACTTTCTTCACTGTAGTTGCTTTAGGACTTGCCATCTACTATGTCTTCTCCGTTATGTTCGGTGGCTCATCCGATCATCATGTACAACCAAGGTCTAGTTCTTTCGAGGAGTCAGAACCTCTCCCGCCGCCGGTTCAGCTCGGAGAGGTAACCGAAGAGGAGTTGAAGGCGTACGACGGCAACGATCCTAAGAAACCTCTGCTTATGGCCATAAAAGGTCAGATCTACGATGTCTCACAAAGCAGGTACGTCCTCGTAAATCGCACTATTTCTCTTATATTTTAAAGATGGTTACGTATGTTAAAGCTCAGTAATTGATATATGAACTGAAGTTATGATGTATTAGCTTAGACGATACTAATTTAGTGTTTTCAAAATTTTGCAATTTGGGGTTTTATGTTCTTCGGTGATGTTTTTGATTTCTATCCTGTTTGATGTGATCCCTTGATGCTTTACCTCATGGAGAGGGACATAATCGTCATGAAATCGATGAGGTTTCCCCTTTATGTGAAATTGGTGTAGACTTTTGATAAAGTCTCTTTAGTGTTTTTGTTGTACCATGGATAGTGGGTCAGCTTTACTGCTTTGCCTTTGTAGTGACCTTTTTCATTTCTTATGTTCTTTTCAGAATGTTTTACGGACCAGGTGGTCCCTATGCACTGTTCGCCGGAAAAGATGCTAGCAGAGCTCTTGCAAAAATGTCATTTGATGAGAAAGATTTGACAGGTGATATCAGTGGTCTTGGTATGTTCGAGATGGATGCCTTACGTGATTGGGAATACAAGTTCATGAGCAAGTATGCTAAAGTAGGAACCATCAAAACCCCTGAACCCGCAGCAGCACCTGAGCCTGAGTCCACACCCACTGAGCCTGTTCAACCCACTGACACCGAGCCTGTGGCTGTGGTTGCTGCTGCTGCTGCTGCTGATCATCACAGCAAGGTTACAGAAGATGCTCCATCGGAAAATGTAAGTACTGTAACAAGTGAAGCCAATAAAGAAGAATGAGCCTATGATTTGTGATAAATGGGTGTAACCATGGTTTTAAACTTGTTCATTTTCTTTTCCTTTTAATAATAGGGTATTTGTCAAGATACATGGGTGTTGTGTTATATGAAAACTTAATCAAATATTGTTTCAACTGATAGGAATAGTTTGTTTTGGTTGAGATGTTTCACGAGAGAACACTACAGAACACCACATTGTTGCAATGAGATCTAATATGTATTCACTGGCCATCTATTTCTGTAAGACTAAACTCTTATACCTCTCTCTCTGGTCTCCGCTCCATGCGGGGTGTTGAGGTGGAGCCATGGTGCCCCGAGGGTGGCCCCGGTTGGGTGAAGATGACAACTTTCCCTCTTCCCCTATTTTAGAGCGATGACAACTTTCATAATTTTTTACCTCGATATATAGCCCTTTAATCCCTTACAATTTTACACAACTGCTTCAGTCCCAATTTATAATAATTTGCTTACAAAGTGTGAGAATTGAAAGCTATATCATCTTCATCCTCGAGCAACATTTCAGAAGATGAAGATCATGCAATTTGTAGTTACGATAGCAACTTTTTTTTATTGATAACTGAGGACCCCACCCGAGTCATCACCAATGACCTGGAAGGCCCTTCCCTTCGGTCCCTTTGTCCATCCGGTAGTACACACATGTTGTTTAAAGCATCAACTTGGGAGGCTGGTGGCCACCCCTCAAACGAAACGTAGGAGTCACCTCCCCTTTTGATTCCCAAAACTTTCCATTGCTAGGTCAGCAAGGTGATGATTTATTCTAGGGGTGGAATTGGTACAGTATCGGTCATTTTTTTTTAAACCATGTATCGTATTAATTATAGTTGGTATAAAAAATTTGCTATCAATATCGTATCACATATAGTTGGTACCAACTTGTTTGGCTACCAATAAATTTGGTTGGTACATGTTGGTAATGGTATATACCAACATGTATTCGAGTTTTGTGAATAAGTGTTTTTGTGTTCTTGAGCATTATGAAATGCGAATAAAAGTTTTGTAATTGTTGAGATTGAAAATTTAATCTAAATTGATTTTATTAATTTACAATGAGTTTAGAAGTTAAAGCGGTAGAAAAAATGGGACGCCTCATTCAAAAGTTAAAACATGTTGGCTATCAAACATATTGAATATCAACATTTTTGGTTCGGTGGTAACATGTTGATTGGTTATCCGTTGTACATATTTGACGGTCCTGGTTCATTCAACCATCTTATGAACAAGAAATTGATGTCCAACAACAAAGCCAATGTTAGAGAATAATGTAACAAAGAAACACATAACAATCTTTGTTTATATTTGGTGGAATATATTTATACAACTCAATTATCCGATGATGGCGAAGATTAAATATTTAAATATTTTTGTTTTATTTTAGGTTTATGTTTTTTTAATTGAGAGTGAAGCAATCTATTTTTTTAACTGTGTAATTTTTAAATTGTTAAGTTTAAACTAATAAAAAAATTTAATTAATTTTGATTTTATGTTTTTGAGAAATCAAATATTCTTCTACTTTCCTACTCACTTATCAAAACAAGTGTTAAAATAAAAAAATATGATTAAGTATGAAATCAAATATCATCGTACTGTTATTTCCTATTCACTTGATCAAACAAGTGTCAAAATCAATATATACGATTAAGAGAGAAAAAATTAGTAGATTCCATATGATATTATTTTATATAAGTATGAAAAGAAATAAAAAAAAATATAGGAAAATATGTAATTTTTCTATGTTTATATATATATATATATATATATATATATATATATATATATATATATATTTGAAAACGGAGAATGGTCTTTATGATATACAATTTCTTTAGCTAAGGTTAAAAAATATTTAAACTTTCAAAAATATTTAACATTTTAGAGTGGTTTGGTCGTAGAATTATCCATAAAGTTATTATCCGATTGTGGATTTGGGCCCTACCAATTTTGAAACGACTATGTTGTCACTTTAAAATATATAATTTACAACTTCTATTATTTAGTTTAGATAAAATTAATATTACTAAATAAAAAATTAGGTCCCACCGCTCCCCCACACTCACACTATTTCCTTTCTTTCCACTAATGAACACCCCATCTTACCGCCTCCTTTCCACTGGTGACCTATCTTCCACAGGAAAACTTCCTGTCTTCCTCTAAGGCTCTAACATTAGTGAGTTTGTATGTTCAAAAGTTGAAAATGTCAATTCATTGGTAAGATCAAACCTATTTCAAAAGTTGAAAATGTCAATTCAAATGAATTTAATAATTAACTTGAAACAAAATTAAACCTATTGAAAATAAAATATGTTATCATTGGATACTCATAAACATAAACAAATCCGATATGTTTTTACGCAAGAGCAAACAAAGAAACAAAACTCATAATACTTACAAACCATGACTAAAAGTAATTTAAAAAAAATATGTCCATCTTCTTCCTTACCAGCTTCATCTAGTATTTGTGCTCTATCAAAACCCTAACATTTTGAATTCCACTAATTTTCTTTGAGATCCAATAAACTCTTTAAGGCTGTGTTTGGCGTGCCATAACTAGCTTATTTTTCCAGCTTTTTTATGTTGTCGTGTTTGGTAAGCCAAAAAGTAGCTTATAAGTTAGCTTTTTGAAAAGCTACTTAGACTAACTTTTTAAGAGTTTTTTTTTAAAAAATTTCCGAATATACCCTTAATTAATTATAGAAACACATTCTCTTACATGTCCTTTTATGTAATTTTATATATTTCAGCTAGTTTTATCAAACACTATTTTTTATCAGCTAGCTTTTCAGCTATCAGCTAGTTTTTTATTTAACAACTAGCTTTTCAGCTATCAGCTAGCTTTTCAGTTAGTACGACAAACATAGCCTAAATATTTCAAAGTACTAATATATTGAACTTGCACCCTAAAAAATCGGGAACCAAATAAACTTCAAATATGGAACCATTCTTACACACATGATTGGAGAATAACAAGAAGAGGAATCGATTCTTGAAGCATTTATCGAGCCTTTTGTTTTTGTGATATTTTAAATATGAGGTCAGTAGGGTGGTTGTGATGGATAGAGTTTCTTGTTTCTTTTTTTTTTTTTTTTTTTTTTTTTTTTAATAAAAGGCCCCCATATTTTTAGCTATACAGGGGCATAATGTCACAACTAAAAGTTTGCGTGACCGTGAAGACCAAAGAGAAAGAAGACCATGTCGCTGGTTAACTTGTCATCGAGATCTATGGGGTCGTATTAGCCCGTGAGGGCGTTGTTAGTCTAGTTGCTTCCGTTTGGCCGAGTCGTAAATACTAGAGGGCTTGACTATAAAGGGGACCGTTGCAGGTTAGACACAACTGATCAGGGCTAATGCCGCCTCCATGATGAGCCCATGTCAAGCCGAAACTAGTTGCAATGTATATCTGGGTAGGATGGTCTCGTGGTTCCAGCGGGAACCTCGGGACGCCGTACGAGCAAGGAAGAGTATCGAAGTCGAGTACGTGACAAGCGGTATCAGAGCCGCGTTCGAGCAAAGGACATACATTGAGTCAGTTGCGCACCTTCGTGGGGTCTGTAGAGGCGGACTAGCGGGTGGGATGCCTAGAGGGGTGACCCGCCGATAACTACTCCACCTCCTCGTGTAAGTCTAAGAGTAGATTGGGGGTGGCCACATGCCGAGGACTCCGACCCTATGTGTATGCGGTTGGGATCAAGGAGTGCGGTACACAGCTGTACGTGATGATGATCAAGATTGGAAGGGACAAGAGTTTTTCTCCTGTCGCACGAGGACGTGCTATATTTTGGTGGTGGGAGAATGTCACGACCAAAAGTTGGCGTGGTCGTGAAGACCAAATAGAAAGAAGACCATGTCGCTGGTTATCTTGCCATCGAGATCTATGGGGGTCGTATTAGCCCGTGAGGGCGTTGTTAGTCTAGTCGCTTCCGTCTGGCCGAGTCTTCAATGCTAGAGGGCTTGATTGTGAAGGGGACCGTTGCGGGTTAGACACAACTGGTATAGGGCTAATGTCGTCTCCCTGATGAGCCCTTGGCAGGGCAAAACCAGTTGGCATGTGTATCTGGGTAGGATGGTCTCATGGTTTCTAGCGGGAACCTCGGTACGTAGCCTTGGCAAGCAAGAGTGCCGAAGTAGAGTCCATGACAATAAACTTCCTTTTTATGGGTTAAAAATGTTCTTCATCAGAAAGATGAAGGGGTAACCCGGTTACCTGTTGCCTAGTTATTAAATGAGGTGCCAGGTCATTACCAAATCATACTAATTCCTAAAAATCTCTCAACATGAGATGCCTTACGATCATCTCTCAACTATCGGAAACCTAGTGTAACACCCAAAAATTCAAACCAATTTAAACTTTTAAAAACATTTCAAACCATTAAAAATCATTACAACTTTGTTTTCAAAATGTATAATATTAGAGTTTTCCCAGAAACATAGACAAAACATGAGGAGCTGTACGATCACGCCTTCGCCTTGCCGCGATCCCCTGATGTACCTGAAACAATAAACTGAAACTGTAAGCCCGAGAGCTTAGTGAGTTCCCCCAAAATACCGATACACATACAGTCCATATAAACATATCATAATAAACTTAAAAACATGTAATGGGTCCCCAGCTTTACAGACTGGATTACCCCTGAGCCCACAGTACGAGTCTCCCTTTAGCCTGTAACTGGAATGCTCCCGAGCCCACAGTACGAGTCTCCCTTTAGCCCGTAACTGGAATGCTCCCGAGCCCACAGTACGAGTCTCCCTTTAGCCCGTAACTGGAATGCTCCTAAGGTTTGTTGGCTACCGCACGGAGCAGTACAACCTCAACCCATCCCACATAACATATAACATACCACATAACCACTGAGCATGCAATAATCATATAACATCACAGGTAGTCCTACAGGTCTACCTAACTGACATAACTACTAGCATGCAACACTAACTTATACTCAACATCTAACACTGCTAGAATAACATATCCAATGGGCCGGCCTTGGTGCCTTAGACCCCTTAGTATAGTGAGGATAACTCACCTTGCAACTGTCGTCTGAAACTAGAAAGCTCAAATCCCGGATCACCAACACGAACTCCACCA